TGCAATTTATACTTTTTTTTATCCTTTGTATCACAAGCTGAAATAATGGTTATAAGGTATAAATGGGAGAAAGATCAGCATTATACTCATAAGGCAGATCTGAAAGACTGTGCTGCCTCTGAGACCACAAATAAATGATTTTCTGTGAGAACAATTATTTTAATCTGATTGGTGCTCAATCAGTTTCCAAAATAAATTCTGTTTGATGGTTGAAATAATGTGACTATCAGCACAGAAGCTGCTACTCTGCAAAAAAAAAAATCAACTTTAGAATGACATTTAGGCTATAGCAACCAAAGGAAATTTAATAATATACATTTTAGGTAGATTGAATCTACCGAACACCGGGCAGAAAAGCACGAATAAGTCTTTTCTGCAAGGGAAACAAAGTCTTTTAACATGGGGCCATAATCCAAAGACAGCAGGCGAGCAACCAGGCTTCTCCAATGCAATGTGGCGAGATTGCTCTCATCACATCTCTTCCCTTTTTCAAACAGACTAACAGGGTATCTGACCTCCTGCCGTTCAGTGCCCTTGTTAGTCCAGCAGCCCACCCACAAAACACACCTGAGTGGAGTTACTACACCTGAGTGGAGGAGAAGCTTGTCCATGTCCAGGTGCCTCACCACGGCTGTGTGGGTGACTGGTAGGCTGCTTTGGTGGGTTGCTGAGTGGGCAGAGACCAGCGGTACTCTGCCCTGGTGCCAGCGCTACCACGGAAGTAGCCTGGTTGAAGCCTGGTTGTTAGAGGGGAGACCGACTGTCTCCCCTTTAGATACACAGCCCTGCTGCTGGAGACCGACTGTCTCCCCTTTAGATACACCGCTGGGCTGCCGGAGGGGGAGACCGACTGTCTCCCCTTTGGCTAAACAGCCCTGTCGCTGGGGGGGCAGAACCGACCATCCATACCCCCTGTGCTGTACGTGCAGAGACCACGGTCCCATCTGCACAGTTGTGGGGCTTACTGTCTCCCCCTGGTACATTAGGCTGCCGCTGGGGAGATTGGTTAACAAGCTCCTCTCCCATACATACTTCCAGCTGCGGGGGAGGGAGACCGACTGTCTCTGTTCCCAATACAGAGTCCTGCTGCTGGGGAAAGGAGACTGGGCTCTCTATTCCCGGTAGGACACTCTGCCACTGGGGAATGGAGACTGGGCTCCCAATTCCCAATAATCCGTACTGCCGCTGGGGAATGGAGACTGGGCTCCCAATTCCCAAAAAATCATACTGCCGCTGGGGGACTCTGCTCTCCTCCCCCTGCAAGGTACACTGCCGCTGGGAGACAGGACCACTTGTCTCTGCCCCCTGTAACTCAGCCTGCTACTGGGGAGGGAGGACGCTGCTCTCCTCTCCCTGCAAGGTACACTGCCGCTGGGGACAGGACCACTTGTCTCTGCCCCCTGTAACTCAGCCTGCCTCTGGGGAATGGAGACTGGGCTTTCAATTCCCTGCATATCATACTGCCGCTGGGGAATGGAGACTGGGCTCCCAATTCCCTGCATATCACACTGCCGCTGGGGAATTGAGACTGGGCTCCCAATTGAATATTATACTAGCTTTAGTGTACTAATAATCTTAATTTTAGTAATGACAGGAGGCGAATATTTGCATATCTTTCTTTACTGTAAACTCCAGCAGCATAGAAACAGTAACAACCAATCAGAGAAAAGATATGGTGCCCATAAAAGGCCCTGACTATGACATCACTTCCTCTTTCTTTGGTGCGAATAGTAAATAACAATAAAACCTAAGACAAATTACGTTAACAGTTCAACAGCATAATAGGGGAAATAACTCCGGTAGTTCCATGGTGTAACGATGTGGAAGATGAGCATTTGTCCCGAATAGAAGACGTGCACACTTGTCGAGAAGGCGATCACACTGCAAGACAAGGAAAAAAGTGAAAGGTCTCTGGCGTGATAACTTGTCCGCATATCCTAAACATAATAATCCTGACATAACACATGACTGTCCGAAAGGGTTCAAGTAATATATCCGTTTAAATTACTGTAATAGGAAGGAACTATAGATATACATGATGTACATAGATATAAGGCTACTTCTTTCCATCCTATACCATCCCCTTAAACACTGTTAGGCACGGAACATACTCACCTATGGTACATGTCTTCCTGAATATATGAAGTATTCTGTTCCATTGATGAAAATAAGGGGGGGTCCAATAGGGTGGGAAATATTCGCCTCCTGTCATTACTAAAATTAAGATTATTAGTACACTAAAGCTAGTATAATCTTCAATTTTACCACATGACAGGAGGCTTCATATTTGCATTTTTAAAGCTTGGAATTGATTAGTGTGAAGGAAGCATGAGATGTTTGACGGAAATAGAACGTCCTGAAAGTACTTTCTCGTGTCCAGTCTGCGCAGCGCATAATGTCGATTAGAGAGGCGCCCGCCGTTAAGGCTTGGGAGGCTGCCGCCCCTCTGACCGAATGTGCACCGAAGTGAGGTTCAACGCCTGCTAACGATAGTAGCCAGCGGACCCATCTAGCCAGTGTAGTCGCGGACACCGGTCCGTGAGGCCTTACGTAGGAAATCAAAAGTTGACCCGTCGAACTGGTTCGAAGGGAAGCTGTGGTTTCCGTATATCTCATTAGTGTCTTGACAACGCATAGTTTGGGATCTGAGCCAAAGTACGGGTATGATATTGAGGTGGAATCCAATTTAATCCGTCTTGATATGGAAAATGTAACTCCTTCTGGAGTGAGGCAGAACCCGTCCACGTCGAATGCTCTAACGTCTGACACTCGGAACGAGACGAGGCATAGTAAGAGGGTCAGTTTGGCTGAAAGTTGTTTCAGTGACAGATAGGGATTATCTGGCCATGTCCTAAGGAAATCCAGCACCACGTCTACCTGCCAGAGGATAGAATATTTGGGTGCTGGTGGTCTCGTTAGTTTAGCGCCCCGCAGTAGTCGGCATATCAGTGGATCCTGACCCACTGGTCTGCCTTGTACTGGGATGTGTGCCGCCGATATGGCTGATCTGATCACGTTGAGGGACCGATACGATCGTCCCAGCGAGAACAGATGAGCTAGGTAGTTAAGGATCAGAGGGATAGGGGCATTAAAGGGATCGGAGTCCCTTTCCAAACACCAATCACTCCAGGCTGCCCATGCGGATATATAGCATTTCCTGGTGCCTGGAGCCCATGAGTCCCATAGGAGGTCCTTAGTCGATTGTGATAGGCCGTGGACTGACCAGGAACCCCTGAAATCATCCAAGCCACTAGTTCTAGTTGTCCTTCCAGGACGAGGGGGTGTGGTTCTCCTCGAGGTCCCGTCAGAAGTAGTGGGAAGGCAGGGAGTAGTAGGGGGTGGTCGTTTTGCTTTGGACATCTCGGAGCCCGAAGCCTCCATCCGTTCTGGGGGACTCATGTCGCCTTGACTTTGGGGTTGAGCTTTCAAGAGGGCTTTTTCTACAGATGCCGCCACTGCAGCATTAATCATAGCCTGAAAGTCTTGACAATTTGGGTGTCTTCCATGACTTGTAGTGTGTTTCTCGTCCTGTTGGGCGATAATGAAAGTCAGTGGAAGCAGTGGAGAAGAGTCAGTACATGTAGCGACAGACTCTTGGTACAACTGGGGGCCGCCCAGTTGGCAAAATTGTGTTTTGAGGCGTATTGTATACGGGCTGTTGCCTAATATAGAGGCCGCCTTCTGTTATGAGCTCAGTGGTGGTGTATAGTTTGGGTTCGCCACAGTTGTACACCAGAGCTGTATGCACGTTAGGTTAGCAATCAGGGTTAAATGCCAGTTGAGGGTAGGTCCTCGTGCATATACTCGGGGTTCACCCCGGGTGGTGTGCCGTGGTAACCAGAGGACACCCACATAAGATAATGGTCAGTGACCTTGCATGCATATGTGGGGGGTCACCCCAGGTGGTGTGCCATGTGTGCAGTGTTGTCCCTTAGTAGGGTCCCTTGTAAGGGTTAATGGAGGTGTTGAGCGGTGATCGGGTGATTCCCGATCCGCTGTACTGTAGGGAGAGGCGGCCGCCGAGGATCTCGCGAGTTGCGAGATCCAAGATGGCCGCCGGCCGCGTATGCCGCCGACCGCGTGTGTACTCGCTCGCGGCCGCGGGAGGAAGGCGCAGCGAGAGAAAACAACAAAAACTACCCGGTCTCCCTCTACCCGTCCCAACACAGTCCCCGAGCATAAATAGGATAGGTCCGCGTGGCGAGCGTGGCACTGGCAGCCGTGACACCTGCGGACCGTCAGACAATATAGGAAATATAATATAGAATATAAGAGTAGTGAGAGTAGATACAAGGAGGGGGAGCAGGGAGACAGGAATAGAGAGCCAGGAGTAGTAGGGTATAAAGAGTTAGGTATAAACATTAACAAGTGTAGTAAATCATAACATGTCACAGAGAGGTAAAAAGTACTTTGACCTGTAGGCTGGAGCAGCAAAGAAAGAGGAAGTGATGTCATAGTCAGGGCCTGTTATGGGCACCATATCTTTTCTCTGATTGGTTGTTACTGTTTCTATGCTGCTGGAGTTTACAGTAAAGAAAGATATGCAAATATGAAGCCTCCTGTCATGTGGTAAAATTCCCTGCATATCACACTGCCGCTGGGGAATGGAGACTGGGCTCCCAATTCCCTGCAGTACCTGTCGCTTGAGTTCCTCCCAACGTGCCAGCTGACCTTCTCTTTCTGCCCGGTCTTGCAGATTCTTGAACACCCGGTCCCTCATGGACTGCACGTATTTCTCAGCTGGATTGGGTCCAAAGAACTTCAGCCGCAATTCCATCATGTTATCGAACTCTCTCCTAGAGTAGCTGTACTCCACTGCTGGTTCCATCCTGGTGCTGTCAGGGTCGCTGTACTGGGACATGCATTGCCCTCAAATTGTAAAATCCACAGAATGGTGTCTCCTGTAGCTGTCCTTCTGGCTGTAGGAACGATCCCACCGCTTGTCACCAATTGTAACGGACCATTTTGCACACAAGGGGTTAAAACCGTTTAGGCTATCGTCCCCTTTCCGAGATGCAGGCACAGCTACTGTAGAACACCAAACTCACGAACCGCATGTAAGGGAATGCTCCAATACAATATAGCACTCCAAACACACGAACTGGAACCATACGAATCGCTGCTAGCAGATGAATAGGAAATGCATCCAAGCGGCTTACACTCCTAGCAACCAGTCTCTATCAGTGTTCAGTAAATCCCCCCAAAGACGAGACAAGGCTCCGTGTTGAGGGTCAAGCAGTGGTCTGTTTAATGAGGGCTACCTGCCCAGTATTTATGCAGGTCTCCCACCTGGTGGACACTTCCTTAGGGGACCAAATGGGAGACTGTGACAAAAGACAGACAAGTAGACAAATAGGACACACAGTCACATTATATTCCCACAATGCATCCTGGATTCCTCCCCTCTGCCCTGGAGATAATTGAGAAGTAATGCAATTATCTCCCAGAACAAAGGCAAATCGCCATTATGCACGTGGGGATACTAACACAAGAATTACTATTAAAATATACCATGCAAGACACATAACATTAAAATCATACATTTAACCTATCCCCAGATAGCTCAGGTTTGAGCGCACATTATTAAGCGAATGGCGCTCAGACCACACGAATACAGTTTAATCGCCATGGAGCCAAAGTCTTTACCAAGTCAGTTCTCATACGAATGGGCTCCATGGGATTCCTATCTGGGGTATAACATAGTCAGGTAAAACTCCCGAACACCGGGCCGTTCGTGCACTCCCGCCGAACAAGAAGGGAGGTCGACGGCTTCAGCGGTGTTCGCGCCAAACTGTGTCCGATTTTAGTTTCATGAATTAAGCGTTGAACACCGCTGTGCGTTCGCGGATTTAAAATGGCAGCGATCTCGTGTTCGTCATACGAATGGCGGCCACCCAGTATTCGTCAATTAAGCTGCGGTTAACCACAGCTTCTGGGAGGCTAATTGCCGGCACACTCCAGCTCCCAGGTGGTCTAGTCATTCGTGCGGTTGTTCGGTAGGTTGAATCTACCGAACACCGGGCATAAAAGCACAAATAAGTCTTTTCTGCAGGGGAAACAAAGTCTTTTAACATGGGGCCATAATCCAAAGGCAGCAGGCGAGCAACCAGGCTTCTCCAATGCAATGTGGTGAGATTGCTCTCGTCACAGACTGTGTATCTGTAAGTGAGTGTATGTCAGTGCATGCATCAGTGAGGGTGTGTGTATGTCAGGAAGAGAAATTTGGAGGAGGGGGTGTCTGAGTTTTGTCATGCCTAGGGAAGCACAAAACCAGAATACGCCACTGCCTATATGGATTTAACCCTACTGATCCATTTAATGAATGACAGTCTATGTCGTTAGTGGGAGTTAATTCCCTGCACTGCATGACGGCCTATACTGTCATGTGGTCATAAAGGGGTTAAGCACAGAATGTATAGTTGCTTAGCTAGTAAATCACAAATGCCAAATAGCAATTGTGTGCATACGCTGCTGTCTGTATGGAATGTACATATAATTAGGTCAATTTATTAGTTGCCAGAAGAAAATTGTCTATCTCAGTCAATTTTCTTAACAGCCTGCATTCACTTCTCTTTTTCACATTTTGTGAATCGGGGACATCCCCCATGTCTGTCCAGGAGCTAGAGAAAAAAACATAGGTGTTTTTTGTTGTTTTTCTACTTTTTTCATTATTTCTCTCTATCTCTTATCCATTAGATTGCCATGCATAAGGTAGGAAGTAAGATAGATGCTTGTATCTTTTGGGTAAATATTGAAGTTCAGACAGACTTCACTAGGTAGGGTACCTAGTGGGACTTTTTGCTTAGTGCCAATAGACATAGGACTTACACCAAAAATAAAACTGTCTTTTTTACCTCTTGATCCATTACAGAATGAATTAATTATATCGTAAATTCTCCCTTTGCACTATGTAGAAGAACTGAATTGGGCATGTGCTTACAATGATAGACTATTAATTATATTCCTCGCCAATTGAGGACAGATAAGTGGAGAATGCATTTTATTTTTATTTTGAGAATGTAATTTGTTTATTTGTGTTTGGAAGAGAAAATAACTAAAGTCTTATGATCTGTTGTAGCACTCCAACTACTAATGCAACCAAAAATTAGCCATCAAATGAAAAATGAAGCAGGAATATAAATGAGGATTTTAAGAGAAATAACATCCGCTCACTGCTTATAGAGGAAGACTTGTAGAATATCCTGTATCTGGATATTATGAACTAGTTTGTGAAATGCTTATCAACATCAGGAAACTTCACACACCCTATATTTATAATATTGTTGTATTTTTATTACTGTATCTTATTATACTCATTAAATATTACTTCATTTCATTGACCATTGACAAATTCTAATCTTTAATTCATACAGATGGAATGCCCCCTTTCCCCTTAATATTGTTTACACCCCTCATCATTATTTGTTTAATTGTTAAAACATTGTTTTGTTGCGGGTTTACAAAAAAAAATGGTCAATAAAAAGAATTTGAAAAGGAAAGCCGAAGAGACATAATTAAAACTTAAATTGAATAAA